ACGGGCCCCTCCGCCGCCCCCTACTCCCCCCCACCACCCGCCGATTGTTTCCGGATTCTTCAAGGAAGGGGCTCATTAGTGGGGTATTAATATCACCCAGGGCTGGACTAACACAACCAACAGGAGAGTCTGCAGATAAAGCCAGCCTCAGCGTGAGAGCTAAGAAATATCTGCACACTTTTATCTGCACTGAGCAGCCAGCCTCACTGAGAGAGGGAGAGGTGCTGACGGCCAGTAATACAACACACACACACACAGTCCACATGTCCATGCACTTGCACACCTGCATCTCTCAGGTTCCATGTGGCACTGTGCTTGTGCAAACATGGTGTAAAGGTAAACTCCAAACAAATCAATGTCAATGCACGTGGACCCTGACACTCTAATGTATAATAAGGCTTATGCATTATTCTTGATCACAAGGAGTTACTAATAAGCAGTTTCGGGAGGAAAGATGATACAATCGGTGTTGTAAAGGTGCCATGCACAGCTGTAACAACATATTGGAGAATATTTGGTGAGTAATGTTTGTGTTCTAGGGGAGTCCAGGCTCAGGGGANNCCTCCTCATCCTCCACCTCCTCCTCCTCCTCCCTGCATTGTTGTCACCAGCATAGAAACTGACTTCTGGTGAAATGCACATTATAGGCTTAATGTACATACACAAAAGTAAAAGCAACACCAGATAGCTATCATAGTTATATCTTCAACGGGGTACAAATTATTGTTTTATTAATGGACAAGTGAGTAGGATTTAGTGGCATCTAGAGGTGTAGTTAGTTACAGATAGTAACTCCCTCGCTTCACCTTCACCTTCCAAACGCACAGGATAAACTGCATTGGCTGCCAAATTCGTGCAAAACGCAAACAAGGTGGTTGAACTTGGTGAACTCCATGGAAGGCGACTAATTCTAAGGTAACAAAAACATAAAGATTCTTATTTTCAGGTGATTATACACGAATGAAAACATATCTATGAATATTATATTCCATTTCTTCCAATAGAAATGTTACACACTGGACCTTTGAGCCACACTATTCTGAGATTTAAACTGCAGCTAGCGGTTGCTCTCCACAGCCAAACTCAAATACAGCCTAAAGTTTAATTTGAATGGATGTCCAGTAGTTAACCCATTAGTTTGAACTCACCATTTATCCATCACTTTTAGCTCACTATTTAAACGTGTCATTTAGGTTTTAAACTGACTCGTTGGAGGGTGTGTCGCTGGAAGGGTTAGCTTAGCAATAGTTGTTATTTTGTATAACTGTTGTTGTTAAAATATAACAATTACATAGGTTTACTATGTGTGTTTGCCATAATGTGCATATGAACCGTTGAATGCACTGATCAAAGCTGGCTAAACATAAAACATGTACTCACACAGAGTTTCAGGTAACTCAGATTGGCTCAGTCTAATCTTTAAATCTCACTAATCAGCCCGGCTCAGTATGTCTATTTAGAAAATCCACCGGTTCAGGAATCTCGGCTTCACATTAATGAGATCAACAAATCCCCAAATATTTTGATATATGATATATTTTGTTTTTAGAAAAAGGCTGGATTACAAACGTTCTCCCTCCTGGTAACTGCCAGTACTAAAACACAGGTAGGTAGATAGTAATCTTTGCAGATCAGAGTCTGATTTAAAAAGAGACATTTCTTGTTTGTGCATCAAGGTTAAAGAGATGCAAGTAATAAAAATGTATTTCACACTTCTCAGTCAGAGTTCTGCAATTCCTGATGCATTCAGAGCTGTGAAAAGCTATTAAAGCTTGATGTCTTTTTGATTTTATAGACACTGTTCTGAGGCAGATGAAATAGTCGGGTGTGTGAGTCTGGAGGAGGGTATGATGTTTAAGTAGGATGGAAAATGGGCCTAAGAAGGTGCAATGAGGTGCAGTTGTACTGGGAGAACAATGAAGACTTGATAAAGTGGCTCTTTAGTTCAAAGGATGTTATGCAAAAATGTGTAATTGAGATGTGCAACCAAAATGATCAATAAATATACAGCATAAAAATGACGAATGAAGTAAAAACATTACAAACATTGTGTGACATTTTGGTAAATATGCCTATTCTCTCTCTTGTCTAAATACATATTGATAACTCTGTGTTGTTTGTATGTTAAGTTTGACGTTAGAGCCTAGAGTTTAGCTGGCCAAAAAATAGTCAGGTATACAGATAATTGTAATTTTTACTCTTGTATGGATTAAATAAATTGTAGTGTAAAATTAGTCAGCTTTAGTAGTTTTGGTAGACTTTGGTACGTTTGGACAGAGCCAGGCTAGCAGTTTCACCTTGTTTTCGGTCTTTATGCTAAGCTAAGCTAACCGACTGCTGGCTCCAGCTATGTATTTACTATGCAAAGAGGTATCAAATGTCTCATCTAAATATTGGCAAGAAAATGAATAATCATATTTTCTTAGTTTCCAACTAGTTTTTTTTTATCAGCCTCAAACAAACTGGTTATATCTGAGGATAGCCTACAGTGTGCAGCAATGCCATATTTAAGTGTTAGTGTTAAATATTTTTGTAACATTTCAGTCTGAAATTGAGGTTTTCACCTTCAAAAAGAAATTAAATTACGATCAACTAAACGAAAAAAAATCTTATTTTTCATCATTAAGTTAAGCAAATACATTTGTTATTTAAATGGTCAAACAGGGAAGAATGGGCCTTTAAACGCCATCTATTACCTTCTATAATTGTGATTTATTACATGTTTTAAAGCTCAAGCGGCTTTAAAACGGAGTCTGATTCTTGTATCTACAGTAGCTTACATGTTTGAAAGGATTAATAAGTCATAAAAATGCAGCAGACATTTAATTAGTGCTTTTGTTTTCACAGTAAAGCAACAGTTTGGATGTGATTTGATCTGCTTGAGCTATTTTTGTGCAGTGTGGAAGTGGAAGACAACAGAGAAGAGAGCTGATGAAAAGTGTGTTATTGATGAAAAATGACACACAAAGAGGTATCAGACTCATAACTAATCGCAAAACTGTGTCGAGTGTGTAACAACCCACAACTCGTGTACTCTGCAGAATATCTCCTCTAATCTTGGTCAGATCCATCATATTTCTGTCTCAACCTACTTCCCGTCTTCATTTTAAGCCGAGGGGTCGCCGGGTGATGGATGTCTCCTTCACACTCTCCTCTCCTCCTTCCCCTTGGGCTCGCTCTTCACACTCTCCCCTCTATTCTTCCCCCCTTTTATTTCTCTCCCTCTCTTTGTCGCTGCTTCTCTCCTCTCTTTCTCCTCAGTAACTGGTAAAAATAGAGCTTCATAAATCATGCATCTTCTCTCACAGCAGTGCGTAAGTACGAGAGGAAAAGAAATAAATGGGAGGGGAGGGGGTGAAAGAGAGAGAAATGTTGAGGATGAGATGTAGAGATGGAGGTGGATGACATCAAACTCCAGGAGAGGGGTGGGAAGTTGACAGGGGAATAGATTGGAGCTGCAGGGCTCTTGGCTGCCCTCTCTGTCTCTCTGAACATTGGCTGATTCACACTGGAGTTGCACCGGATGGAGGAAATGAATGTTAACATGCCGAGGAGCGGGCTGGCGGACGATGAGTGGTCATCCTCCCAGTTGAGTAACATGTTTCAAGTCCACAGAGAAAAAAAGAGATGTCTCTCTCACACCTCGAGGACTCTTTCTCTCAGATAGACTCGACCCGTTTCTCACCTTCAGTAACAGGGGTCTGCACTCTCACTGGAGGGGAGGTAAAGTGAGAGACCACAGCTGCAGCCCTCACAATCACAGAAACCACAAAATAAGACACAGTACTCCATAGATCCATTAAGTTTCACTGAAAGATTACTTTGAGTTTCAGCCACATATCCCACAATGTACCTTACATTATAGCATTTACCAAAAATACTATTTTAAACATAATAACATTGAGTATTTGAAATCAATGGACTGTATAAACAATCAGCACCAGCTTCAAACTAGATAAAGTGGACAATATACATTTATTTGGTCACTTAAAGGTCCAGTGTGTAACATTATAGCAGGTTATATCGGCAGAAATGGAATATAATGTTTATAGGTATGTTTTTATTAGTGTATAATAACCTGAAAATAAGAATCTTTATTAAATAAGGCCGATTTTTTTGCACATTTTGCGGACCATCTTAGTTTCTCCTTTGCACTTGGAAGTGGAGGGTGATGCGAGGAAGTTGTAATCTGCAACTACATTGCGAGATGCCATTAAATCGTACACGTAAATTTTTTTTGTCTGAATTATGTTAAGTCAAGTCAAATATATTTATAAAGCACATTTAAAAACAACCCTTGTTGACCAAAGAGCAGGCAGCTAAAAACACAATAAAAGAATCACAAACAAAAAGAAACACCGACATTAAAATCAATGCACGCAGCTCATAGGCACAGATACACAACTCACAGTCAACAAACAAAAAATCAGGCACATCAAGAGGATTAAAAGGCTAGATAGTAAAATTATGTTCTGAGCCTGAAGGGGGGAGATGTGAGTGGGAGGGGAAAGCTGTTCTACAATCTAGGGGGATGCAACAGCAAATGTGCTACCACCCCTGAGTTTACGTTTAGATCAGGGACAGCCAGGAGCCGTAAGTCAGCTGAGGGGCTAGCCCAGAACTTTAAAATTCATTCTGAACCAGCCTGGCAGCCCGTGGAGAGAAGCCAGAATTGGGGTAATATGGTCCCTCTTCTGGGTACTTGTCAGGAGCCAGGCTGACTGATCCCAGCATACAGGGAGCTGCAGTAGTATAGATGGGAGGATATATAGCAGCGGATGACTTTAAAAGAGAGAAACAGCTTGATTTTGGCAATAGTACAAAGCTGTAAAAAAAAAAATGGCATTGACTTGGCGGAATCACACCTGGGGTGATATTTGGGCATGCACTAATTTAAAAATTATTGTTATTATTATGGCCTTAAGGATGCTCCAAAATCCAATTTCTCACTCAAGATGATTACATTAGGTTTTTATTCATTAATTAGTCATTCAAAATTAAGAGAAAAAAAAAATAACATATTTCAAAGCCACTGTATGTGTATGATTTGAACATCTCTGACTTTGGCACCTCCCTAGTGGAGATATCAAAACAGAGACTGGACACTGATTCCTGTTTCGTACTGTAGACTGTATGTGAGTCTATTTGGAATGATTCATATAAGACTTCTGTCACAGATTAATATCTGGTTTTCACTGTTTGCACAAACTCTAGTCTGCAGTGTAGTTACACACAGTTCAATTACAAACAGTAATTTCCAAATAAAATTAAACCTCTCTCCTTCTGTCCATAAATTTGCTTTCTCTAGCTCATGCACATGCTTTCTATTTCCTCCTCCTTCTCTCTGTCACTCTTTCTTGTCACAGAGTCGATTATATAACGTTTAACTGTCAATGTCACTAAATATTTATATACCTTGATGCCTGGATGCTAAAGTCGAGCACTGACCTGACATTTGACCAGTGCTGATGCACATTGACCCATTCAGACAAGCCACCGATAACCTACGTCACTGTCTGTCTCAGTGGGGTATAAGACGAATGGGCTGCAACGACACATGGATTGCACCCACTTCAGTGGGACTGTCTCATTTTTCTGAAAACAAAACCTCTTTCCATCTGAATAATTTAATAGCTTCCATGATCGCATGAAATCACTACACTATATATATTGGTTCTAATTCATTTTCATTTTTGATTTTATGCAGGCAAAAAGCAAAACACCAAAAAAATAATACAGACAGATTTTTATTACTTGGGTGGTGTGGTGAGAAGATGTCTCTTCCTGCGTTATCCCCGCACAACAACTCAACGGTTTAGGGTAAAATCCAGGAAAATCTGTTTAATGTGCTCTTCATATTATTATATTTCTGCTCAATACCACATTACCGTGGCACAATAATTGACAAAAATAAACTAAATGAACTCAGGTACCCCTTTTCTATCATTGAGTAAACTGACGACCCCTGACTCACATGTTTTATGGATCTTTTATATTGTATTCAATGCATAACAATAACAGCACAGAACAACAGGTAAACTGTACAATGAATTAGTGAACTTAAAAACTGCAGGAAATTTGTGTAAAATGCGCAATTTGTATGAATTTTGAAAAGATTATTTCCTTTTCTTGATATTTTTATGAACTTTTTATGTAATTCTGTCTGTATTATTTTAAAGAATCATAAATACTTCAGTATTTTCTTCTCCGTGACATTTAGCCATTGTTCTATTAGCCTTGGTGACACCGGTGTATAATAATGACAATGATTTAATTAATTGGCTAACATGAAAAACCCCTGCAATGGTCCTTTAATCCCCAAATTCATTCAGACAAAATTACTGTTTGAGGTTATTTGAGGTGTTGTCTAATTTTGTTTGATCTCCTATGACTCCACTGTGAAACAAAATTAGCCTTTAGGGAAACAATGCTTCTGTCCCTTCAATGACACCACAGAGCAAATGGTGTCTCAGCAAGATTACATTCAAACACTCACACACACACACACAACCTTGTCACAGTGCTGAACCATACACCACTATAGCAGCTTTAATCCTATATGCTGGAACCAGAGACAGAGCCATAAACACAGTGTAAAGTCATCTGCAGTGACTGAAACTGCAGTCTTAAATAAACCCACACAGGCCTTATTTAATTTTGGATAAGGATCTCACACACACACGCACAACGATTTCCCCTAAGTCAGCGATTCATGGATGCAGCCACGCCCTCGCGCTGTAGAGCAAGTGAGGTCAACCTGTGTGTTAATAAATGATGGGTTCTGAGTGGAAACCTGGTCACTGCAGGGATTCGGGGTGTGAGAGTGAAAAGTTCAGCAGATATACAGAAGCTAAAGCACATCCAGCTCTGTAACTCCAGCAGAAAAAGGAATTCATATTTCATGAGCACTTCTCCCTCACTTCACATGTGGGCTACGAACAAACTTGACGGTTTTATCGCAGTTGAAACCACACATAACGGGTCACCACTGCTGAGGAGTGAGAGACGAGCTTAGCGAGACGTGCTGGGAGAATCTGTCTGGCTGCCCGGAAAAATACATGCTTGTTCTCCCCGACTCCCTTTATTTCCCTTGATTCAGTTTAGTCCAAGGTGCATTCTTGCTTTGTATATGTGGGGGAAAGAATATGCTGTAGGTCAGCTGTAGCTGTGTCTATTTAAGTGTTTATGACTTCTTGCTACAAGGTGATGTTGGAGTAAAGCTTATCCTCCTCCACATACCCAGAACAGACTCAGGACCATTTTGGGGAGATAGGGCCTTTGTGTCTGGAGCACCTTTGAGGCACCACAATCTACTGACGCTTTTTAAAAAGGATTTTAAGACATCTTTTTAGCAAAAGCCTTTTGGTCCCTTTTTAGGATGTTTTTTATTTTTTTTTAATTCTTTTTCTCCTTTTTCTTATTTATTTTTTTTTTTAAACTGCTTTTTTTGTTTCTTAACCTGCTTAGCCACTTGGAGGATCTTTCTGATGAAAAGGGCATTATAAATAAAATGTATTATTATTATTTATTATTATTAAAGAAATGCAGCATCCCTCACTCATTAAAAGGCTTCCGACCTGAAATTAACTGTGTAAGAATGTGACATTTCTTTCATTTCTTCACGTCCTGTGTGTTTTCCTACAGGGCTCAACCATTAGCCATTAGTACTACTACATCATTGCATTCAGCTTCCTCATTTATTTCCATGAGTTGGCCACAGCGATGGGTCGTTGGCTCAACTTTAATGCAATGCAATATCATCTGGCTAACAGATTTGCTTTGCGTCAATCAAATATGTATAAACTGGCACATTTCCTTGGCGGGGGGGGCGGGCGGGCTTTACTGAGGCCCTTTGATTCTGTGGAGTTTCATACTGTGTGTTTTTAATGTTTGCGTCGCGTGGTGTTGGGTTTGAAACACTGTATTGCTGCCATCTTGGCCAGGGCTCTCTTGGAAAAAGAGATTTTGTAATCTCAGTGGGACTTCCCTGGTTTAGTAAAGGATTAATAATATTAATTTTTTAAAAAGTGCGGGATGTCAGCAGGAAGTCAGTTGGCTCCGCCAGAGAGGAAATGTAATGCTCATGCTCTGTAGGGAGGCTGTAGTCAGAACCAGAAGGGCCACATCCCACTTCCATCTGACTATTTAACTCTTGACCCGCCAAACACCCCTCCTCACACGGACATTCATTTATTAATTAATAATTAATAACTTATTAAAATAAGCTTTTATTCTATGTTTTCTTACTTACTCTACTAACCCTTTTTTTGTATCTTAATTTGTATGTAAATTAGGTTTGTGTTTTGCGTATCCTGATGATTAACCAATCATAGCCATGTTGTTCTTGTCACAATCCACTGCACACCTCACAGAATATAAAGTAATTTGAATTCAACTAAAATGAGTTTGGAAAACAGGAAATGCTTGAATTCATCAGTTGCATGGCCTCAATTAAAGTGAAAGAGAGAAAGAGAAAATATTATATCATTATACTATTTGTCTTACACTTTGTGAAGGTGATTATTTAATTGTCTCATCTCCTGGAACACACCCACACCAATGCAGCACGTTGTATTTTTAATGCTATTTGCAGTCTGACACCCACTTACCAAGTGTGAAGGTGTGTTTGTGTACTAGACTCACCAAGGCAGTGAGGCGAGTGCGGGCATTCACAGCATGCTTGAGAGCCAGTTTGATCATTGAAGGCAGCCTAATAACAACGGCCTCCATGTCCTGCTCTCCCCTCATGGCACCGGCCAGCTTCCCCAGTCCTTCTACGTAGGTCCTCCAGTGAGGCTGCACCTCAGCCGCTCCCCCCAGGCAGCCGTGCATCACCGCCTGACAGAAGCCTCTGCAGGCTGGTGGACCCAGCATGCCCTGGCAGTGCGGGCAGTACCAAAGCCTCAGCAGGGCCCGGCTACAGTCCCGGCCAGGCCGCAGGTGGTCTGTGGTGTTGACAACCTCGATGCCCAGGTTCAGTGCCTGCAGGAAGACACGTGTGGCCAGGAGGGAGTGAGACAGACGGGTCATCATCACTTTGGGATAAGGGCCAAATGCTCCTGAGTCCTTCCAGGCTTCTCTTACACACTCCTCAGACACAAAGGACACGCTGCCCCCCAGCAGGCGACGGTATGCCAGGGGGAAGAGCCGACCATAGAGCACCGCCACCATGTGGTCCACTGTGGAGTCTGAGCCCAGGATGTAGAGCGACATGTCCAGGAAGAGCTGCCCCACGGAGCTCTGGGCTCCACCTCCGAGACCTGGGAACTCGGACTTCAGCATGGCCAGGGTGGAGTTACGCCCGTGACGTAGCACCAGGTCAAAGGCCTCTGTAGCAAAGCAAGAGAATAACAGGAAAAAGAGTCAGATGAGGTGAAAGTTAGGCTACATGCTGTTGCATTCAGCAGGTGATGATATGCCTCAGTAATCATAACAACCACGCCAAGCTGTCAAAAACTAGGCAGCAATTTAGCTGAAAAACATGAAACAGTCAAATAGATGCAATTCTCCCCAAACATCTATCCCATCCTTAACGATCACAGTCAGAGAAAACTTCCCACGCACAGCCTCTCTTTCACTTTTCCCAGTTTTTCTCAATCTGTTGTTTTCTCTAATGGGACTATTCACACATACACAAGACAAACACACACACACACAAACACAGTACTGCAGTAATAGACGAGGACTTGGAATACAAAGAGAGCAAAGCGGAACAGATAAAAAGCAAGATTTGGGTTTGACCTTTCAATACAACTAAAGAGCGAACTAGAAAAGAGATTCTTAAAAAAGTTCCCTTTAAGATTAGAGTATTAATCTCAATACATTAGTCAACTGGGAGAGGCATGACCACGAGGATGTCTGCAGGGAGAGAAGCATACAGAGCATGCAGGAGGGAGAGGTGCGTGGCCGATGCAAGGAGGGAAAATAATCATTGGCGTTTCGAGGCACAAAGTGAAGTCTTATCAACAAGGTGGCACAAGAAGCAAGCGCTCTATCATCGACCCGGTAGCAAAATGAGTGAGGACTCAACAACACAGGGGATTTAAAGCTCCATTACTGAACTTAGCAGGGGAGCTGAGAGTCAGTGAAATGAAGCTTTGGACAGGAGAATAGCTAGGGATGCCGAAATCCCATTTATACCGCAGCAAGTCCGCTACATCACTTTGTTGAGAGTGATAGCCACAACTGCTTTGTGAGGGCGGGGACGCGGGGGAGGCACTGGTTTAGGCGACATTAAAGGAAGTTATTAGTTTTTGTGCTACAAAAGCTGGCCATTTTATCTTTGTTATTTGATTTTTCTTGCTTGGATAGTTTAATTTCTTTCTCTTCATGCTTCTCTGAGGTCAAATGAGCCTATATGCAGAGCTCTGGGTCCTTGGGTAGCACTGAGAAAGGACGTGACAGCTCTGTCTCTTTTGTGTCTAACGTATAATGTGTTTTTTTGTGTGCAATTTCAGGCACACAAGGAGGTCCATATGAGAATATGACAACATCTGAGCAAAGGAAATGAACATCACTCCCTCTCTCTCTCTGACTGACTGTTGCTGGTGTGCATTTCAATGATGTAACTTTTAAAAGAGGAATAAACACCATCTTCCTTATACTGAATTTCTCAAATTAAAAGTTGACTTCATAAGAAACGAAACTTTGGTCATTTCAGTACAATGGGGCTTTTGCTGCTGAGTATTTCTTGACGATACAGGACAGCACTTGCACACAAAAGGCCATCCAAATTACCAATACCCAGATTATTGAAACATTTCCAGTTTTTTCTTATCCTACCAACAGTCGAGTTTCAAACAAAATACACACCCAGGTTTATGTAGGCGAGTGAGAGGGTAAAATACAATACAAATTTGCCAGAACAACATAAAATATTTTTGAGGATTTTTGGTCATTTTAATTAATTTCCAGGTGTTTATATGACTTAGTCTCTCCATGTTTTCCAGTATTTCCAGGAGACATGGGAACCTTGAATAAGTGAACACCAGGAGACCTCCCTGATAGTGGTCCCTTTCTCATTAATGTCTAAAGCTGTATTCAGACAACACAACGCAATGCCGAATAAAGTCAATACATAGATGCAAGCCCATTTGTAAAATGCTAATTAATTCTGGGTGGTGTGAACTGAGGTCAAGAAATTTGAAAATGTTTTAACTTGAGTGAAAACTGGGCTTATTTTGAGGCTTTATGGCCCAATTCATTAACTTGCAGAAATATTTTAATAATTGGAGAGGAAAATAATGGAAAATGGATTTTCTGGTAATATTTGATCAGTCAAAGACCGAGCTGTCACATAAACACAACACAGGCCCGGTACACACTGTACATACACAGTCGGTGTCCACATTCCTAGCTAGCAACAGCTGACGTCATCGATTGGGTCGTGCAAAGGCGAAAATGTGTTTATGTTATGAACACATCGTTTTTTGAGTTACTAATGCCACAGTATGGTGTCAACTGAATCTGGTCCCAGTGTATAGTGCTCACAGCAGCAATAGTTGTTTGATGTTTTCCAGAGGAAATAAAGTAATGTTGCCCTGCAGATGAAAAACATCTGTGGAAATTCAATGATGTTTCATGGTACTCCTCCAAAACAAAAGGCAACATCACGTAAAAAATACACTGTGTGTCGGGATTTTAATGCATATTCAAGCTAAAATGCTGTTGATATTGATTTTAAATGTCTTTATTTAACTGTCTCAAGAGGATCCTGGAAAATGAAGGGAAATACACTAATACCCTGTAATTGCCACATGTGACCACAGTGGCTGCTGTTCAGCAGAAGTTCCCACTTTAAACCATTTATCCCAGAACTACCTCCGTGATAAACAGTAGCAGGCTGTGGTTGTAAATTTGAATATGTGTGTGTGAAAATTAAACAGGGTGTAAAGCAGCATGCATGCTCAGTGATACAACTGTTAGGTGAATTAAGGTTAACAAAAACATTTGAGGATATTTGGGTGAGTGTGAGAGGATGCTCGGGAGCAGCACACATCTGTTTAGATTTTCAGGCTATGGCTGTCCTGCTGCGTCGGCGGAGCACTTCCCTCTGTGATCAATGAGCAGACAGATGTGCAGATTGCCAGCCAAGACAAGGAGACAGACTGCAAGGAGGTATGACACGCCCACACAAACACATACACACACACACAGAAAAACACACACACAGATGTACAAGTCTTCTATTTCTGGTAAAAGGAAAGCAGGAGCGTCTTATATTTGGTTAATGATTGAAAACTGAATGCAGTGAGAAAATGCACATTAACCTCAAAGATATTTGCTTCTCCTTTTCTTGGTTTCTATGAAAGCCTCTTAAATCAAACCCTGTAATTTAGCTGCTACCTGTAGTATCTCTTACACCACAAAGAGGAGAGCCACTTTGTAATGGCAAGAGAAAGACTAGAGGGCTCTTCATAAATGCAATTCAATGGCTCTAAGTAGATGGGGTCATGGTAAGAACCATTGCGAGCCCATTTCCTGTGCATTCTGCTCGGTCTCTTTCATCAGTGAAAGCCTGTGTGGGATCAGGTATCCTCTAATGGAGGGGAGAGGGGCTGTATGTCAGGGACCTGTGACATTCTGGATACAACTGTAGGAGGTCAAGAGCACACATTAGCAGAGCAGGATCCCGCAGATACATATTGGGTCACACTTAAAATTAGCAGTAGCATTTATTTTGTCTGTGTCACAGATGGAGGCAGAAGGCTGGCTGCTGGAAAACTGTCTCTCCTCTGAGACTGAAGGCTTTTTACAGAGAGATCAGCGATACAGGGCAGAGGGAGATGTCTCTGCCTATCCTCTTTTACCTCTGTCCACTGATTTCACCAGCCAGATAATGTTTACGCTAAGGATTTGAGGCGTCTCAGCTTCCTTGGGCATGAAAATATGGATATCCACTAACTCAATGTCCAATATTCAACAGCTCTGTCACTGAGGATACTATAAATCTGTACTGTGAATGCTTTAATATAATATCTACCTTCTTTGCATATCATGTCATTAATCAAAGCCCCCAATTAAAGTGTGATCAAGTGATTTCAGGTAGTCTAAAGTTTAAAAGAAATCTAATAAATCTGTGTCACAGAGAGGTCACTTATTTCTGACACCTAAAAGCTCTAAGTGACTCCAGCTCTGACATAAAACAGGCTTCTCACATAATCTATGAATGGCCTGTCAAATGAACATATTTGATGTTCACGAAGCCATCAGTCTGGGTGTTACATAAGTCAGCTCTGCGGTTCATAACACGCCAGACTGACTGACTGACCGCTGACTGTGGATGACACGCTGCGAAGGCAGACATGCGCCATGCGGCCTCATCAATCAACGACCCATACACCTATTATCCCCAGGAGAGGAAAACATCAATAAATTACCCAGCCAATGAGACTAATCCATTTGGCTGATGGAGTGTCACCTCTAGCCGCCACAGAGACGGAATGAGAAGCTGCTGCCACCTGGTCCTGGTGACAAAACAGTACCTGTCCAGGATGCAGAGAGGACTGGCAGGAGGACTGAAGAGCCATTCATAAAGACACATGCCAGCACTCTGCGTGTCAGGTGGAAAACCTGCAACCCAAGTGTCAATTTAAATGCAAAACAGGAAAACAGGATTTTTATTTTGCTTGTTGATTGTGCAGTTTAGACTTTTTGATAGGGCTTTATAAAGTCAATGACAATCCAAATGTCTTCTCCTGTGTCTGCAGTAGAACCCTGCATGTTTTTAAATGAGTGTATTGAGCATACAGATATGTGCACAGGCTGACACATGCATAAACCTCCCAGCAGGCTTTGCATTCAGTCATGTTTTTCTAAGCCTGTCTACAACAAAAGCAGCATCTGTTCATTGACTGTAAACAATATGTTGTTTTTCCACACACATCTCACTCCCACAGAGCAACCTGTCCCAGGTAACCTGAGAGCAGCTCCACCTGACGAGCTGCTCTTGCGGGAGCAGTGTTTGTCTGAGTTCGGGTGCCCTGGGCTTACGGGATGGCAGCGGCAGCGAGGCAGGGCGGGGTGGGGCAGAGTGGGCTGATTCCAGGAACAAAGCAGACAGGATGCTGGTAAGGCCCAGATAGCATCACCAGCAGACCATGAGGGCCAATGGACAGCGGGGCAGAAATGAGACATGTATTAGGTTACTCCATCTGTTAGAGAGCACCTCCTCTCACACACAAACACACAGATGCACACAGACGTACACAATGCAATCACACAGTGCACAGCAGTGGCCAGGTGGTGACAGTGTGGGCGAACATTTGGCAAATCATAGTGGGAGGGCAAGGTGTGAGTCAGGTGTAAGGACTATAGGTACACACACACA